CTGTTTTGTCTTGGGGAGGGACATGCCCCTGAGCAGTGGTCCATATGTTGCTCCTACTCAAAACAAACTCCTAAAGTTAGAGAAGTCTGCCTAGAATTGTTCCTCCTGGACTGCTTGATGCAAGCCTCCTTGACACCGAAAGGAAAGATGCAGCTAAACCCCAGTCCTCCCATAGTTTCTCTCCAGGGGCACTCAGAGAGCTGAGATTCCACCCCAGGCTCCTGGGCTACATAAAACAGGGCCACTGGTTCTTCTTGTGCCTTTCTCCATTTGATTAAAGAGCCCTTTAATGCCCGATATTTTCTCCCAATGAAGATCCATATACACTGTCATCAAGTCACCTCAGTCTCCTTTTGGAGAAGTTAATTAGATTGAGCTCTTTAAGTCTCTCACTGGAAGGCATTTTCTCCATCCCTCAGATCATTTTTGCACTCTCCTATTTTTCAACCTCCTTTTTAAAATGTGGGCACCAGAACTGGATGGAGTATTCCAGCATGGGTCTCACTAACGCCATAAAGAGAGGGGAAATCACCTCACTGCTGCTATCATATACTGCTCCCCTGAGGAGTGCATTAGCGCTTCTTTTTATATCATCACATTGGAGCTCATGTTGTGTTGCTTGTCCACTGTGGCTCCTAAATCCTTTTCAGAGTCATTGCTTTCCAGGGTACAGTCCCCAGTTCTGTAAGCATGGCCTGCGTTTGTGCCAACGAAGAGAAGGTTAAGCATGTTCAATAGGGGGCTCAGAGGACCAGCCATCCTAGTGGTTAGCACACCCAACTTCTGGCCCTTGCCCGTATGGTCAGATTGGCAGTGATACCTGTTCCTGACTGTAAGGAGGGGATCTTTTGCTTTCCACCTGCATCTGGGCCTCAGCCCTTAAGGTGGCGTGGTAGGGAAACCCAGGCCCTCCCTCTCCCATGGGCCCCAGCGGGAAGCAACACCAGAGGGTCCTCCCTGCAGTGAGTCCAAGTCCACTTCCTTGGGCTACTTCCCACCAGTGGGTCCCTTCAGTTTGGAGCGGGCCCCTGTAGTCCTAATAGTCAGTCTCAAAAACAACAAAAATCCAAAGGGCCCTGCAGGTTCTCAAAGGGGTTGGTTAGAGAGGGCTCCACCTGTGGGCCTGACCCCTCTGTGGTCCCCTCTCAGGCACAACCTTTTGTCTGGCTGCCTGGAGAACGAGTCCTCTCTCCTATAACCTGCCCAACACCCTCTGCCTGTGCTTCTGAGCCCCTTTTAATCTGCTCCTCCAATCAGAACATGCTCGGCAGTTTGGGGTGGGGGGGTCTACCTGGGCCCACTATTGTTTTTTAACCCCTTTGGGCCCAGTATGGGATTTGTATCCCCCATCACAGGTGACTTGATTACAGTCTGGGGTAAGTATCTCCATGGGGAACAAATATTTATTAATGGGCTTTTCAGTCTAGCAGAGAAAGGTCTAACATGATCCAGTGGCTGGAAGTTGAAGCTAGACAAATTCAGACTGGAAATAAAGTGTAAATTTTTAACAATGAGACTAATTAACCATTGGAACAATTGCCAAGGGTCATGGTGGATTCTCCATCACTGGCAATTTTAAAATCAAGACTGGATATTTTTCTAAAGGATCCGCTATCCCCTTACCCAAATTACTAAATTTAGTTTCTGACATGAGCCAACTCCCTTTGAAATTCCTCCATGCAATGGTTCCTTCTGGCCTTGGAATCTATGAATCTGTGATTTCCTTGTTCCTAGGTGTATAACTTTGCATTTGGCTGTTTTAAAATTCATTTTGTTTGAATTAGCGGAGCTTACCAAGCGATCTGGTTTGCTCTGTAGGACTGCCCTGCCCATGTCCTCATGACCACTCCACCAATTTCTGTCTCATCTGTACATTTTATCAGCAATGAGGGCTGGAGAAAGTGAGAGACTTCAATAGCTCAATCTATTTAGCTTTGATAAAGAAGATGGAGAAGTAGCTTGATTACAGTGTCTGAGTACCGTCCTGGGGAGCAAATCCCAGGTACTAAAGAGATCTTTAATTTAGCAGAGAAAGGCATAAACAAGAAGCCATTGCTGGAAGCTGAAACCAGACAAATTCAAATTAGAAATCAGGCACAAATTTGTAACAGGGAAAGTGATTTAACCATTGGAACAAACTACCAAAGGAAATGGTAGATTCTCCATCTCTTGATTTCCTCAGATCAAGACTGGTTACCTTTCAGAAATATATGCGTTAGTCAGCACAAATGATTGGGCTCCATAGAGCGGTAACTGGATGAAATGTAACGGCCTGTGATATGTAGGAGATCAGACTGGATGATCTAATGGTCGATGAGTTGATTAATCAGTCTGGGCTCCCTGTCAGATGTTTCTTTCATTCCCTCAACAGTTGGACTGAAGTATGCCTCTCCCTCAGTCCCAATGATACCAAGGTTTCCTGAGGAAACTGAGGCAGGATGCAGGATTTAGGATCATGATAGCCTCCCCATGGGGCAGGCTGTTCTGGTACTCAGATCTGATGAACCTCTCAACGCAGACCCCAATCCACCTTGCCTGCTGTGCCCAACGTAGTCTCACAGAATGAGAGTCAGAGTCTGCATGCAGACCTAGCATCATGACATCTGAAAGCTTAGATGCTGGTTGGATGACCTCTACCAAAGGAAGTTCTTTAGCTGATGTTCAGAACATTCTGCTCCAAAGCAGGAAAGCCTCAGTCAGACTGACAGAAAGCTGAGCGGAGGAGGTTTCTATCTGGGCACCTCAGCATCACCTGTCTCCCTTGACATCACCCATTTCAGCATGACTGGACTATCTACTAGCCCTAACAATCTGGACTTTCAGCACCCTAAGGGTACAGCTAGCAGCAGTCTCTGCACATCAGCCTCCTATCCAGGGACACACTATATTTTCCCACCCTACAGTGGCAAGGTTCCTTAAAGCCTTTTTCATGTTTTTTTCCCAGTTTCGGAACCCTCTCTTGGGACCTCAATATAGTATTAGCAGGGATGATTGGTCCCTCTGAAGCACCCGGCATTAGCCACCGTCAAAAGACAAGATTACTGGGCTGGATGGACCTTCGGTCTGACCCAATATGGCCATTCTTACGTTCTTATGTCTCCTGTTTGAGCCCTTAGTAAACTGTTCCCTACACCACTTACCAATGAAGGCTACCTTTTAAAATAGCTTTTACACCAGCTCGAAGGGTAGGGGAGAGAACCTTGTGGTGGGTCCATCTTATATCATGTTTCATAAGGAGAGGGTCACCCTCAGGCCTCATCCCATGTTCCTGCCTGAGGTAGTTTGGAGTTCCACATGAACCAATTTATTCATATCCCATTTTTATTCCCCAACACTCACCCAATTCCAGGGGAAGCTAAACATCATGAAATAGTAGTAAGGGCATTATCGTACTAATTGTACTACCTTAACAAGATGAAGTCATTTAGGAGCACACCTAGACTTTGCCACTTTGTGGCCTTTGCAGATAGGATATAAGGCAGTATCCTCTCAGAAATTCTCTAAATAGGTCTCCACATGTATAAGAACATGTTACGAGTTAGTCAAGTTAGAGCAACCTCTTCACATTGGAGCTCATTCCCCTAGAGCTCAGGCCGCCTCTGTTGCCTGTTTGAAGAATGTCCCTATTTCTGAAATCTATAGGGCAGCTACATGTATCTCAGTTCTACATTCCCAAGATGCTGTTCTTTGGTAGAGACTTGCAAATTGGATGTCCACATTAGGAGGGCTGTCCTGAAGTCACTGGTTAAGTAGGACTCCTATTACCCACCTCCAAGCAAACAGTACACAAGAACATAAAAACGACCATACTGGGTCAGATCAAAGGTTCATCTAGCCCAGTATCCAGTCTTCTGACAGTGGCAAATGCCAGGTGCCCCAGAGGGAATGAACAGAACAGGGAATCGTCAAGTGATCCATCCCCTGTCTCTCATTCCCAGCTTCTGGTCAACAGAGGCTAGGGACATCATCCCTGCCCATCCTGGCTAATAGCCATTGATGGACCTATCCTCCATGAATGTATCTGGTTCTTTTTTTAACCCTGTTATAGTCTTGGCCTTCACAACATCCTCTGGCAAGGAGTTCCACAGATTGACTGTGTGAAAAAAACACTTCCTTTTGTTTGTTTTAAACCTGCTGCCTATTAATTTCATTTGGTGACCCCCTAGTTCTGTGAGAAGGAGTAAATAACACTTCCTTATTCACTTTCTCCACAGCAGTCATGATTTTATAGACTTCTATCGTATCCACCCTTAGTCGTCTCTTTTCCAAGATGAAAAGTCCCAGTCTTATTAATTGCTCCTCATACGGAAGCCATTCCATACCACTTATCATTTTTGTTGCCCTTTTCTGAACCTTTTCCAATCCCAATATATCTTTTTTGAGATGGGGCGACCACGTCTGCATGCAGTATTCAAGATGTGGGAGTACCATGGATTGATAACTGTTTGTTAGTCACCAAGAGTAGAATCCATGTGGACAATCATGCGAAGAAGAAAGAATGGTTACTTACCTTTGATAACTGGTTCTCCAAGATGTGGTGTTCACACAGATTCCACAGCCCACCCTCCTTCCCCACTACTATGGAGTCCTACTCCTCTGGGATTCTGTATTGGCAAGGTAACTGAGCGCCTCTTCGGACTGCTCTTCCCTTTATGCTCTCGGGTGGGGGGATGAGGACATCTAGGGTGCAGGTATGGCCCCAATGGACACTGCCAGCCAAAACAATGTCATCTCATGGGGCGCAACTAGAGTGGAATCCACGTAGACAGCGCATCTTGAAGAAAGACAGTTACTATAAGGTAAGTCACTGTTCTTTACCTTCCATGCCCCACAGGAGTTTGTGAGTCTTCATTCATTGTCATTGTCATTCATTGTTTGTAAAGTTGTTTGCATTCCTGGGATGAGAGGTGCCCTATCAGAGCAACATTGGCTGGGTTTTTTTTTTCATTTTGTTGCAGTCAGTTACCTGCCTTATAAATTTTTCCCCCCATGTGTTGCAGGTTAGATGGAAGAACCCAGACTGCACAGTAATTCAAGTAAGTATGGGGATCTTTCTTCTTCCCAAAGACCCTGCTCCATTCCTGCTGCTGTAATGGATATGACTGACTCACTCATAACCTGACATCATTGTCCTTTTCCTTATTTATATTCATGTACAAAATGGAGAATATTCCCCATTGATCTGTTACTGCACATCCTCTGTAAAGTGTCAGGTTTTCATTCTAAAGACCCAATCATGATTCCATTTAAATTAGTGGGAAAACTTCTATAAACCTCAGTGAGAGCAGGTTTAGTATCATTATTCTCTTACTGTTTGTGCTGTGGTAGCACTTAGAGGCTTAGGTCAGGCAACAGGACCCATTGCTCTAGTTACCTGTACAAACATGCAGTAAAAATACAGTTCCTAACCCAGCAAGCTCACAATCTATCTTATAAAAGGACACCACAGGTGGTGGGGAAGGATGCGATAACAGTAACAGTAAAGACTGGACCCTGTGTTAATAATGCCCCTGAAAAACAGGAATAAAATCTTTATCTTCCCCCTGTGAAAAGCCTGTAGGAGGCATTGGCTCAGGTTTCTGTGCTGATCCAGTCACATGATATTTGGCGTACCCACAAAAGGTGATCTTTCACCACGTTCGGGCAAGGAGAGGGGAGAAACACCACATGGGGAGCACAAATCATAATCCAGAAGTGGTTAGCTCAGGGACTGGGAATGGAACGTGCAGTCTTTCATTTCCAGGTTTCTGTTTCCGGGCCACACCAGGTCAGAGGGCTATAGCTCTGAGAAGTGGGTGGGAGATACACAGACTTTGTCTTCTAAGTTAGCAGTTCAAACTCAGCCCATGTACATAGTGGGCCTGAGGCATTAACAGCTGTTAAGTGGGCTGTGTGAAACAAGTTTCTCACTCCACACAGCAAAACCAACATTGTCATCTAAGGTGACTTGCAAAGGGAAAGAAATGGGGCTTATGCGTTTTTGGGGGTTTGTTTTTTGTATGGATAAAGGCAGCCTGAAAGTGGCGGAGGATTCTGGGGAGGGGGAGGGTTGTTTTTACATTAGAAATTCAGCTCCCGTTTAGCCTCGGAATGTGTCTGGTAACTGGAGAGTCAGTGACATGTTATCACAAGACTGAAAGTGGAGAGGGGAGGGGATTGTTAACCAGACTGGTTAAAAACACTTTTTGTTTGCTTTTGTTAATGCCTAATTACTTACAATGATTGGCTACCATTTTGGAGAGAAGAACATCTCTGTTAAAGATTCAGCACCTTCAACCATCCATGTAAAGTTGAACGCTAACAATCCTTTGCAGCCCCCAACAGGTCCTCCAGCAAACCTGGGAAGGACCAGAGCTGACGTTCCTGGCATTGCTAAATTAAAAAACAAATAAAAACATACCAACCAGCCCCCTTCCAGGCCTTCTGTGTCCCTCATGATGGCTCAAAAAAGGACCCAAGCCCTTTTTAAAGTAGAATAACTTACAAGTCGCCTTTAAAATCTAGTTGTTCTCCTTCAAGTGGCCTCTGCACATTCCCATGTGTGTGATCAAGGTACTTATGCCATGAGCTTCTGGAATCTTCTGGTGAGCGGAGTTGTCGCTGTTCCCCGCCCCTTGCGAAGGCTCCTGAGGGTGTCAGTCCAGTTCCATTCTGTCTGGCCACACAAGGTGCAGTGGGCTCCAATCCCACCCAGTGTCCTCGACGATTCCCTTGTTGTTTTTTCTTCTTTCTGCCTCTTGGGGGCTGTTTCTGTTTGCAGTTAGATTGGCAGTTAGTCAGGCTTTGCGTAAAACAGAGGAGGAAGGTTCATGCAACGGGCAACCTCAGGCCCTTCAGAGTCTGGAGAGCTGCCTCGCCCCCTTGCTGACAGGGACTGCTCTTAGGGCTGTTGTCTAAGGCTGCTTGCTGTAAGTCCAGCAGTGATTTTGGAGAGATGCTCTCCACACGGGCTGTCTGACTGGCATAGATGGCAGGTCTCTGGATCTGTCCTGGTCAGCTAAGTCCAGTGCCAAGGATCCAGCACATGTTGACTCTGACCTAGTGTGGTACTGAGGACCTGGCATCGTTGACTGGAGAATTCACACTCCCCACTCCAGTTTCCCCAGTTCATCAGAGTCCTAGAGCAGGAATTCTGGTACTAGGAGGGAACTGAAGAGTGGTTGGACCCACTTCCAGGGGTGGGGGTGAGCGGCCCCAACAGACACTGCTTGCCAGAAGATTCTGGAAGCTCACAGTATAGAAGCCCTGATCCCATGAGAGCGAATGTGCAGAACTCCAGTTACTGGTAAGTAACTGTCATTTCCTTACAACATATGCACAAGTTTGAACTATGCTCTCCATATGGAAAGTGTTTCTCGCTAACTGTCATGTGTGTTTCCAATGGCACAGGCACAGGCACAGAGGGTTATGAAGCGAGCTCATGTTCTAACGAAGTCTCCACATCCTTTGGAAGAGGCATGTTTCAGCCGATACATACACCATTGTGCAACTGTGAAAGATCACAACCAACCACCTGCTGTAAGGGAAGGGAAAGGAGCTTTCTTTTAACTGACTGAAGGGCTTTCCCTCTGGGCATTTTCCTCTGAGACTATTGCATGTACTGTTTTCATAGGTGTTCGCCAATGCTAATCGGACAATGCCCCATCAAAAATTCAACAAAGCGTTTTTATGGGAGGTTTCAAAAGAAAACTGTTCTCTTGTAAAGTGCACTGATCTCTTCTGATTTCCTACCTGAGCAGTGTCATCTCATCATGCGCTGGTGGTTTCACTCATGACCGTTGACTTTGGATGTGCATGTAAAATGGATTTTAAACCATTTGAGTTTTCCTGTGTGTAATACAAAGGGAACTCTGAGTACAGATCCTTTAAAAACACACACTTTCTAAAAATACCACTCTGTCTATTAATGTTTGGTTGCCATAGTGTTTGATACTGCATGTCATTCTGAGAGTAAATGACAGGGCATGCCAAGAGTAGAGGAATGCAGAGCAAGGAGGGGGGAATGGCTGTAATTAGGACCATAAAACTTGGATGAGATGCCTCCTGGGGATTCCCAACTCTGTGTATTTTTCTTTTAGACTCTGTTAAAAATTACTTGAATGGTTCTTGGCAAGCAGGGGAATTCAGGGATGACCACTGCTAGGTTCAGATTAGTGCCTGCACATTCATTTGCAAGAAGCAAGTATATTTTTATTTAAATTTAAGGAGAAATAACAAAGTTGTATAGTCGGAGGTTTGAAACTCACCACTACCTGGATCCTTGCTAGACTCTCTAGTTTTGTAGCTACATAGAAAACATTGTAATCAGTTCCAATCACTAGTGATTTTATTTTATTTTATTTTATTTTTTCTTGGTGCTTAGGAATGTTATTTTTAGCAGAAGAGCTGAGTGCCCTAATGCATCTATAAATATTTATCAAGGGCGATGAATGGAACGGAGTGATAAACCCTGAAACCACCCCTCAGCTTTTCTCCCTGTCTCATCCGAGATGCAAGGTTGGTTCTTGGAGGAAAGTGCTCGTTAGGTGCCTATAACTCTTTGGGGGAGAGAAAATAAACATGCATGGTGGCCACAGGTTTAGTCAAATATAAATATTGTGAATGAGCTGTCAAGAAGGAAAGAAAAGTGAGGATAACCTGGTTCAGTGTGTTAGCTTTAGCCTGCCAAACACCACACACTTGGAAGGGTTTGTGGCTGTCTTTGTACACGTTTTCAGTATGATTAGCTGAATCATTACCCAGACGTTACTCTGGTTGCGGCTGTACAGATGCAAGAAGGGGATGTGTGTTCTGGAATTTTAAAGGATGAAAGTTTTGCTAGTGGCTGGCTCGAGGACCTGCCGGTATAGACAGGAGGCCATCGGTGGTTAGAGACATTGTGACTGTGGCTTCATCGTGTCTTCACTGTGGGCCCTCTTTTTTGTCCTTGATTTTCATGCACTTCTTCCCCTACTTACCACCCTGATGCCCAAGGTCTGGTTAGTAAAATGCTGGCTTCAGATAAGTTTCCATTGCTCCAGCTGTGAATGGACCAGCAACAGTACCTGGGATTGCTCTGTCTCACCCACCAAGCCTGCTTTCAGACAGGCAAAGGTCCTCTTGACATTTAACTTCAATAACCACAGCCAAAGCTGTGTGCAGAAATCTGTGTGGAAGGAAATATGAATTGTGAACTAGAATAGGCCTTGGGGGATGCTGAGGATGAACTGGAAATAGGCAGTATGTGGTACAGTACATCTAGGAGAGGAGTAGATGAAAGTTTTTGCCTTTTGGCCGTTCCGAATGAAAACGTAAGTTTTTCTCCCCTAAATGCCAATAATCTGGGTCAGAATTACAGTGGAAGGGGAGACGCTGTACATCAGCCAGTAACTATGATTTACAGCTTTTCTAGAGAGACAAGGTTGGGGAGGGGATATCTTTTATTGGACCGACTTCTGTTGGGGAGAGAGACAAGCTTTCAAGTTAGTACCACACCCACCATATCCTGGGACCGGCATGGCTACAACAGCCGTGCATATTGCAGCTTTTCTGTCACATGATTACAATGTGAAAGCAAGCTACATGGACCAACCAAATAGCTGCTCATTCTTTTTTTATGTTTTTCCTGTTTATTCATTTTCCAACGCCTCACTTTTGTTGCCACCATTAGTCTAATATTTAGAGGCTAAAACTTCCACTGTATCTGCTCGTTTTTGCAGCTCTTGGAGGTGAAGACACTTCTCCCTAGAAGAAAGGGAATATCTGTCCCTATAGGCTGTCTACACTGTAAGAGATTTACATGACAGTGGTTAAAACAGCAGTGGTTGCCACCACCTTCTCTACACTGGGGCTCTCACCAGTAGAGCTGAACCAGTGGTAACTGTGGTGGGAGATATCCTAGTGCAGATAAGGCCCCAGTGTCTGTGAGTTGGGAGCAGAGATAACTGTAGTATGATGATGGTGATGCTACGTTTCTATAGCACTCTCCATCCCGAAGGACAGTCAGGTGCTTTGATCACAGATTATAGATAGTGAGAAGTCGTTGTAACCCCCCTGCAATGGAATAGCGATTTCACAGCACAGAGCAGCACCACCAGGACCAAATGCACTTTGTTAGTTTTGTTGTTTGCTGCCTACTATTAAAAGGAGGAGCATTTCCTCTATCAAAGATCCAGGAAGCTAATTTCACGTGCGCACGGGCGTTACAATACTATGATCATGTCTTAGCCTGTTGTAAGCTCAGCTAAGGAACCGGTGACAGCCTTTTCTGTATCAGACTATTAGAGAGTTTGCTTACTCTTCTCTTTACGCTGAACTCTGTGATTGAATAGGCAAGTTCCACTGTGCAGTGAAACGTCGCATTTCTGCAGAAAGCTGTGGCATCTGCTTTTTGTTCATATAACTCTTGACAGGCTCAATGGGCTTTTACAGCCAGAGACAGTGCGTCGTCTGTGTATATTAATGTGACCCTGTGTGCCAGGGTTCTGGATTACCTCACCCACAGTGCCATATATTTGAGTCTACAAAGTGGTCAGCAAATGCTTCATATTATTGTAATGAGGGGGTCTGCAGGTTGCTTGTCAGTGATACTGTAAGCCTCTCTTACCTGATGTGATACCGAGAGGATGACATGGGTTTACCTGACCACCTCTTGCACAGACGCCATTTCTGTGTCACTCTCATGCTAGAGTCGCTGGGGAAAAAGGCTTTTTTCCCCCAGCACCTTACCATGTTAATACACCCTGCAAGTAGGAATGGTGAACTGGGGAATTAAATGTCAGGGAGCAGAGAGCCGATGGGTCATTTACAAACTCCAAGGCCATTTTCCCATAGGTGATCATTAAGGCCTAAACTTCAGTTACATTTGTCCTCATTAACCTGGTACGCTCCCGAGAGCTTCACGCTGCCATTTGCCCTGAGTCAAGAACAAGGTTGCCATCCAGCCTTATCCTGTTGCCATAGTGCTGCTAGGGAGCGCTCGCCAGCAATTCCCAAAGAGAACCTGGTGAGGGGGCTGCAGAGCGACCTTGTGATGTTGCCGGCTGTCGTGACCTGTCTTTGGGTGGAACTGGAGCTCTGCGTCCCGCCCATTGGTACTCAGTACGAATACCTTTGGGGAGCACCTCCTAGCCACCTTCCAGCCACTTTGTTCTCCCTTCACTCTGCCATGGAGCTGAGGCTGCTCCAAATGCCCGTCTCCTGATGGCAAGAGCAGCACAGGCTCGGGGGAAGGAGGAAGGCACAGACCGGTACAGCCAAGCTTTGCATGTGACTAAACGGGTACCATTGCCCAGAGCTTTTAGGAACCCCTGCAGCATGTCATAGTGAGATAACTGATGTCAGGTCTTGTATGCACGGCAAGTTACTATGCGGCAAGCCAGGATGTGAATCTACAGCCCACCAGCTTGCCACACTCGGGGACATGGCTTCAGTGCAGTGAAAGTCCTGTGCTGGAGCAGAGCCCACAGCAAGCTGGAGTGCTATAGATTCACACCCTGGCTTGCCATGCAGTAACTTGCCGTGTGGACAAACCCTTGGTGAGCACAGCGTAATTCCTGTGTGACGTGCCGTGACGCCTGGGACAGTTCCTCACTCCCCAATGCAGAGCACTTGCTGTGGTGACATGACATGACATTGTCTGGAAGAAAATAACTCACGCATGTTAACGTTGGAAACTCTGCTTAGAAGCTATTGTTTGCCTTGCAATAACTGCCTTAAAGCCCCTGGGCTCAACCTTCCCGGCCAGGCTTTAATATATTTTATTGGACTGTCTTCTCTGGCGTTACTTTACCCCACTCTAGGCACACATGCCCGCACACTTTATTAAGTCTGTTTCTCACCTGTCAGCGAAAACAGCGCTTTCCCACCCATCTGTGCTAGTCTTCACTGGACACAAAATTGAACCTTTGGAGCCTGGGTGATGTTCTGCTCCACTACACCAGAACGACTCAGCCCCAGGTCAGTGGAGTAGTAGCCATGTAACAGAGCTAATTCTGATCCTGTGTGTAAGATAGATACCCTATAGAACTCTAGCATGCCACATAGATGTGGCATTGATACTGATGTAATAAACTGCAGTAAAGCGGGTATCACCCACACTCTGCCCTCTGGCCCATCTCTGCTGGGACGCCGTCAGACATTCCACACCCCTGAGCAGCTTCAAAAGGCTGCCATTGGAAAAAAAGGCATCAAAGAGATGTTTCCTTTTTTCCTTCAGGTGTGGAGCTTTTTCTGCCCATGTTCCTGTACGTTTTTTCCAGGATGTGTAATAACATCAGAGTCACGAGCCAAAGATACAGGGCCTGATACAAAGCCCATTGAAGTCAACAGGAGGCTTTGCATTGCCTTCAGTAGGCTTTGATCAGGCCCATTGTGCAAAGCCACATTGCTCGTTAACGTGCAGTATCGCCATGGCTCTGGCTAGACGCTGGCTAGGTACTCAGGAGAAGAGAGGAGTTTGACAGAAATCATTGTCCGTCTCCAGTGAAGCTGAATAACTGGTGACGGTGTCTCAGTGACGTTTGGTGTGGAAATGTTGGCTGTTTGTTTTGCAACCTCCTCCTATTTCACGTCTTGGTGAGCTTTGACCAAAATGCCTGTTTTCACACTGGAAACGGACAAAAATTCATATTTTGCAGCCATCTCTGCTCAATGCGTCCTATTTTTTTTTTTTAAATTGCCTTGTTTTCACTGGGAAAAGGGCCTGTTTTTTGAGCAAATACTGTACAAAACAGTGAAGGGGTTTTGTTGTGTGGAAGGGGGGCAAATAGACCCATTCTTGTCTTCACAATGCACTGCCATAGGGTGGCAACAGCAGCCCTATGGCAACCTCTGCGTGTGGTGGGGCCTTGGGCTCCCCATCTGTACCCAAGTGCGTGTCACTTCTGCAGTCTGGCCTACTTCAGTTCTCTAAGAAATGACCCCTCCGAAGTGCCGTACAGATAAAGTACAGTTTATCCCTGCTCTGTTCTGTTTGTAAGGGATGCTTGAACATGCTCTTGGGGCTGAAACTTCCTTGCAGGCTGTGGGGCTATGCCCCCAATTCTTGTGTTTTACATGGATACTGGGGTGCCTTATTAAAGAAGAGGCTGTCTCCAATGACGGCTCAGACACTGGATGGAATAGTGCAGACTAAGGACTATGCTATGTGCAAACAGGTGCAGGGAAGGTGACCGGAAGGTATGTCCACAATGCAGAACTGCAGCATAAAGACAACAGCTGCGACTAAGCCTCCCAATTCATTGTCGCTTGGTCTGAGGATTGTAACTGGCTCAGATGTGGCTAGGAGATTACGCCTCCCACAGGTGGCGGAAGCTCGCTTTGGGGGGGTGGAGGGATTGCAGGGGGGAGCAGGATGGGCGCTCTGCATGGGGAGTAAGACTCGGTGCAGGGGGGCAGAGGAGGGCGGCCAGCTACAGACTGGGAAGGGAGGTCCCAGAGGTTCGTGTCTCTCGCCAGCCACCAGGGGTAGCTGCTCCTGGCCCTGGCCCAATCACCACAGTTCCTGTCTACCGTTCAGCCTGATCCCAGGGGTGCAGCAGACACTCCAGGTCCTCCGGGTCCCGCTCTTGCCTTCATCTCCCCCCGCCACGTCCGTGCAGTTTACAAAGATTGGTTCCCAGAATTATGTGTGTGGGCAGAAATATAGATCAGCCCCCACCGTCCCCTGGTTCGGCTGTCCCAGATGTCTCGTCCTTCCTGGCGATGGGAGAGAACACACAGGTTTGTGTGCGCTTTGAGCACCACTTTGTCCGCTCAGCTCACCTCAGCCAGCCGTAAAATGTTCCAAGTAAACCGCGGAGGCTCGTACGTTGTGCTGTTTAACTAGGGAAGGAAAATTCCTTTGGTTTTATGAAGTGCATCTTACTACAGGTTTAAAAAGAAAACCATTCTCGAGCTGGACAAAACTGTTGCCGTTCCAAGGGAAGGAATTAGTGCTTCCCCCTCCTGCATGGCCTGCTGTGGAGGGAGCCCCGCCGTGGGGTGTGGAAGCAGTACAGCAACAGGCGCTGTTAGTTACCATGGAAATGTCTATAGAACGGCTGCTGGCCGGGGCCTACCAAAGCAGCGATTCCATGAGGAAAGCCAGAGCTGACACGGCTCCCTGCACAGCATTGCACAAGGGAAGGGAACCGCTGTTCAAAACGTACCGGGTTTTGGTCCTAGCTAAACTTTCAGCTCTGTGATGGACTTATGGGTTCATCAGCCAATATCACCTGGTGTTTGTTGGGGAGGTGAATGTTTGCGGTGGGAATGGGATTCCTCGTTAGTCCTGGGTAGCGGAAGCTGGAGTTTCATGACACAGCCAGCATAGGCTGCACTGGCAGTTAGCACTGGGAGCAGCGTCCTCTCAGATGTGGGTCTCCCTCATGCTATTTTCCACATAAAATTACTATGTCAATGATGTATAAAAGGAAGAAAATTGGCTTCAGCAACTCATACAGACTTCGGCATATGTGTGCTCAGTGGATGTCCAATTCCTTTAGAGACCCTGCTAACTTGCAGCCCCTAGATGTAAAACAAAGCCAGGCTCATTCACATCCGGTCTGGTGGCCACGAGCAGAGCTGGCAGGGATCACACCTTTTTCTTCCATGTATTGCATAGAAATCTGCCTTGGGATTCGAGACCGCTGTGGAATGACTGTACTATTTCAAATTTACAAGTGTGTGTAAGTGTGTGTGTGTGTGTGTGTGTGCATGTGTGTAATAAATCCATACGAGTGGGTGGGTGTGAGTGCATGTCTGTGTGGGTGTTCCATAAACAAATGTTAAAAACGAGATTCTGTACATGTTGGGAACGTGTCTAATATAAATCTGTAAACTGGAAGCCATGTTCTGTCATCTGCCAAATATTTAATAAATTAGTCCCATCCCTATGGGGGTCTCTTGTCTGTGTGATGACCGTAGAAAAATATGTTTGAGATGTACATGAAACAGCAAAGCTGTTTTAACATGAACTTACTGCTCCAGAATAAAAGCAGCTGCCCATAGTTCATTGTGTATTTCTATTAAATGCCAGAGCCAGGAGAATATGCACATCTGTCATGAATACAGGTCAAATGGAACAAACCAGCCCTGCTCATGATAGGGGCGCCTGCAACTCCATACTCATCTGGGTGCTCAGTAACGCTCAGTGCCTAAAGCCCCTTTCAAGATACTTCCTTTCCTGCATGATCTCAGGGCTCAGTGTTATTCAATAGTTAGGACCCTACCAAATTCACAGCCATGAAAAACACATCATGGACCGTGAAATCTGGTCTCCTCCCATGAAATCTGGTCCTTTGTGTGCTTTTACACTATTCTATACAGATTTCACAAGGAGACCAGCGTTTCTCAAACTGGGAGTCCTGACCCAAAAGGGAGTCACAAGGTTATTTTAGGGGGGGGGGGGGCACGGAATTGCCTCCCTTACTTCTGCGCTGCCTTCAGAGCTCGGCGGCTGGAGAGCAGTGGCTGTTGGCCGAGTGCCCACCTCTGAAGGCAGCGCCCCGCCAGCAGCAGCACAGAAGTAGGGGTGGCAATACCAGACCATGCCATCCTTACTTCCGCGCTGCTGCCTTCAGAGCTGGGCAGCCGGAGAGTGGCGGATGCTGATCAAGGGTCCAGCTCTGAAGGCAGCAGCGCAGAGGTAAGGGTGGCGATACCGTACCTGCCATCCTTACTTCTGCGCTGCTGCTGGCGGTGACGCTGCCTTCAGAGCTGGGCTCCCGGCCTGCAGTCGCCGCTCTCCAGCCACCAGCTCAGCACAAACTAAGGGTAGAAGTACTGCAACCTCCCCTACAATAACCTTGCGACCCCCCCCCCCCCAACACACACACACACAC